GGACAGATGCCAAAGACCCTGTATTCGGATTGAATGACTATGATGATGATTTCGTTAGAAATTAACACCGTTGGATGCCGATCGGCTCAGTGGTCTATAGGTTAAGCGTTCGCTCGCGAGACCGAAGGCCCTGGGTTCGAATGCCGTGAGCGGGATCGTGGATGAGAACTGCTGAGGAGTCACACAATAGAACGAAACAGCCGTTCAGTGCTTTCAGGTTTTAATGGTGACTTAACGTGAATCGATTCATGATCTCAATCAAAGGATTTCGTTTTTACCATAGTTTTGTACCATATTTGACACTGGAATAGCATTCCTTCCACTTGTCATCTCATTTACGACTTGGACGATTCTAATGTTTGAGTACCCAAGTTGTATGCGATATATCAAGAATCTATGCTCTAGATATAAAACTAACAAATAACTTTGAAAAATATCCTACTATATATTCGTTTAATAAAAGAAAAATTGTATAGCTCTTCTAGGGTTCCTGATGGCTCCAAGTCCGAGTAAAGGAGGAGAGTTGGGAAAACAACCGTGCTAAAAACAAAAGCGCTAATCAAAAAATAAACAAATTAAACCATGTAAGTTTGTTGTAATCAGTTATCTACAATTGAAAAACTAATTCATTGATTATAAATTAACTGAAATTAATTCCATACACATGATTCCCCATTATCATTTTCAAAAGAGTAAGAACAAAGATTCTAGCAGAATAGCATGAATTCATTTTATTTCGTTTGATTCTCGTCAGTTTCTTACAACCTGTGATATTTAGAATCATTATTACAAAATGAGCATAAATTATGTACATGAAAAAAGGTTTGGTCGGAGGTTATATTGAAGACACATCAGTGCGCACCCACGATTGTACATGTGGGATTTGAACACAGGAACTTTGGTCTCTCATATGAATCCTATAATGATAATTATCAAGTGCTCACCAATGGCTAGCATCGAGGGATGATTCTCAGAGTAATTCATTAAAGACAATCTAAAGTTGTTGGGTAATATCGTGGATTGGTTGAAGTTAGACAATAACATTGCTGGATGCCGAATCAGTGATCTAGAGATATAAGAGTTCGCACATAAGACTGAAGATCCTGAGTCCGAACTACTTTTAGCAGATAAATCATTTTTTTAAACTTTAATTTATGTTATTCATTGAATATAACCAAACTGTTTTAACTTCTATATTACTGTAATGTGAAATGTAATAAATAAATTCATTGTATTATACAATCAATGTCATTTTTTTATGTTAATATTAAAATGTTGTCTCAGCTGCTCCTCTTGAACTTATTTTAAATACAATGAGATAGCTTATATGCTAGACTGATCTTAGTTAAACAATCACTGAAAACCAGGTAACAATGGATAATTGTTTTATTCCACCATCAGACTTCTCAGTTATGACCACGCATGAACTCACCAGAGATCAAACCCAAGAATCTCAGTTTGCATAATACGCTGAAGCGATTAAATTAAAAAATGTAAACAGTTAATATAAATTAATTTTGTATAATTTGTTTGAATCTTCCGATTGATGTTTAAGACTTCAATTGATCAGTCTCTTATTGGCATAAGTGCATCCTGTACAGTTTCTCTCGATATTACCTTAAGTCACAAGAATTATATGCAGAGATGGATGATGAATGGTAGTGGAATCCATGACGCACGTTTCGTCCTATTTGAGACTCGGGATGCAGTAGCTAAATGAATAACTCAATGGTGTTTGGATTTAAAATTGCTGGATTGAAGTCCCAGAGTGAACATCAACTCTGTGATGCATGTACATCCAGCTGATAAGTCTCAAATATAACGAAATGCACGTTCTATATTCCACTGCTAGCCACCATCCAATCAGTCTAAATTTTATCTATCTATCATGACACTTCAACATTCTACGTCTAACTCCTAATTAGGTCGTGAATATTCATTACTGTAAAGTCTTAAATGAAGTAATTGTCCATTGCTACCTGGTTTCAATAGTTGTCTCACAAGAAACAATCTCTATAAACCCCTATATTAATGTTAAATCTTCTGAGAATTTATATTTGTAATTCATTTATTTTGTACAAATTATTTTGAAGATTATGACAAATTGTCTTTTTATTTTAATATTCAATTCTTAGTTATTATATGACGCCATTTAATAATGTATGTCAATTTCAATTATTTTCTTATAATAGTTGTCATTTAAATGATTAATTCATAATAATTAAATGAGATTAATATTATGTTACCAAGGTCGCGACAAATACAGAAATTTATATTATAACTAACATGAGTCTAAATTATCCTTTTGTTGACATAATGGACTAAGGATTTGAACAGTCTTCAATTGACATATATATATATCCTGAAAGATTTGTCATGACAAATAGCCAATTTTTTTTTTAACAAAATTGTTTTAGAATAGACAGTTTGTTATTCATAGGGGAGTAATAGAAACTGCTTTTTAGTTTGATGTATTAGTATTCAGTTGTTCATGTTCTCATTAGTTTTATTGAAATAATTATCACAGGACGCAAACATCGTTTAGATATTCATTTGGTGTTGTTTTACTTGTATCTTCCCATTGTTATTTAAGACGGCAGTCTCATGTTGACAAAAGTGCATCCTGTCCGGATTGCCTCGATATAGCCTTGATTCACAAGCTTTTTAAGCAAAGGTGGATAGTGGCTAGTAGTAAAATCTAGTTTGACTCGCGTTTGGTCCTTTTTGGGACTCGTCAGCTGGATATCAAGTGAATTTTAACTTCACCCTCTTGCACAAGGAAGTGGCTATCAGGACTCAGTAGTTAAGTGGATAACGCAATGGCGTTTGAAGCGAACAGTACTGAGTCCGAGTTCAGGAGTGAACATCAACTCTGGGATGCAGGCACATCTTGCTGACGAGTCCTAACTGGGACAAAATGCGAATCCTGGATTCCACTGCTAGCCACTGTCGATCTTTGCTTCATCGTTTAGATGTGTAGATATATTTAGTTGGTTAGTCCAAAATAGGGCAAAACTTATATCCTGAATTCCACTGGTAACAACAATTCATTTATTTTGATTCAACACTTATTTTCAGATTGATAAAAATTATGGTTTCTGTTATTTCCCTTGAGGTACTTAAGAAGTAAGCAGTGAAATACAGATGATTAGATATTTCTAAATTTATATAAATTCTAATCTATTTTGGACATAAAATATAACATCGTAAGAAATCTTTTGATTTTAAAATCTTAGGTTTTGTGTTAAAGAGCATAATTTGAAAAAAAGGAAGTTGATCAGTCTAATCTGTTGGTTGAATGTACATACTTACTTACGACTATAACCCCTCGTGGAGGACAATAGGTCACCGACTAGGATTTTCTAATGAAATCGGTTCTAGACTCTCATTTCCAGTTATTTCCAGGTGCTATTCATTTTTTAAAATCTGCCTCACATTCCAGATTCCGTGTGTTCTTGTGTCTTCTTGTTTTCCTTTTGTCTTCAGGATTCCAGATCAGGGCTTGCCTTGTGATTCAGTTTGATAATTTTTCCAAGGTACGTCTTATCAAACTTCAGCGCCTTTCCCTAATTTCCCTTTTAGCTGAAAGCTGGTAAGTCCTCTCCCATAGTAAGTTGTTGCCTATGATACCTGCCTAATTTGATAGGTAAAACTATTACGATTTCAGCAGCAACTAAGTTTAGAATTAAGTTCTATTCTCCAGAAAGTATAATCTGATGCGATGTTTCTTACTAAAAATCAGCAGTTACTATGTGCAGTAAGAAGGAATTAAAGCTTTCTAAATCCCATTTTATCTATTTAGTGATGCTTCTTTTACTAAAGTGAGTCTTTAAATCCTCATTTAGTGGTTTAATGGTAATGCTATAGATACGAAATCCATAAGTCTTGGGTTCAGTAACAGATGAATTAACTGGTGAGTATTGTTTAGTTATCTTATATTAGAAGGAAACAATTGTCGACTTTCATCTCGTTTTCAACGATACCTCAACCGATATCAATTCACAGTCACAAGTTTTATAAGCAAAGATGGATAGTGACTAATAGTAAAACCCAGGACGCGTCATCTGGGTGTGCCTGCATCCCAGAGTTGATGTTCATTCTGGAACATTGTAAAAGCAGGTGGCTATTAGGACTCAGAAGCTAAGTGGATAATGCGGTGGCGTTTTGAAGCGAACGCCAGTGGATCCGAGTCCCAGAGTGAACATCAACACTGAGACGCAAATACATCTAGCTGACGAATAGCTAATATGACGAGACGCGCGTCCTGGATTTCACTACTACCTAATATCCATCTTTGCTTATAAAGCTTGTAGCTTAAGGCAATATGGAGGCATTATGCACATATGCCAACAAGAGACTGCTTAATTGCTGTCCAAAAGAACAATGGGAAAATTCGAGCAAACAATACCAAATGAATTATCATATATTGTTTAAATTTTTATTATACCATTAAAAATATGATAACATTCATTGGAAAAGATTGTCTGTGTCATAATTGTTACAAATATCATAAAATTACCTACAATTTCACATGTTATAAGATCATTTGTTTTTACCAGTATCAGCAGTTCTCAACAAAAATGTCTATTGTGCTGTTAAAAGTGGATTTAAGATAGTGCACAAGACAATTTACACAACATACTCACTCCTTAGGCATATTTCGTGTCAAAGTACTTGATATGATGCAATTTGTGTTCAAGAAAGCTTCATGAAGCTAGATGCTATACTCCCGCTATAATTCTTACTTTTGACTTCTGTTACTCAAGTCTGTAGACAAAAGTGTGACGGAACAGTTCAACAAATTTCAAACCCTTAATCAATATCTGATATATCAATGAAAGTTATATGATTGAAAGAAAACTTTTCATAAGATATTAAAATGTGTAAATGCTTCACTTATGCCAACGTTTTTAAACAGTTATAGGCCAATTTTCTCCCTATTTTACTGTGTCTCTCTTTTTACCTTCTCGACTGAGATTTTTTTATTTCTCAATCTTCCAATGATATTATCCATGGAAGCAAAAAAAATATTTTTAAAAAGAGGAAAAAAAATAAACGACATGTAATACATCCTATCAACTAATCCTGTGCAACTCATACTGTGATCCTTTAATTATTTATTCACAGGCGTAGGTGAACTGACTGACAGTAATTTTTGATTACTTTAAACAATTCCCAAAAAAACTGTTGTTTTCCAAAACCATTTCTTCTTCTCCTTCTTCTTCTGATTGGTCAATTTGCATTTGAGGCAAATAACATTAACACAGACTGAATTGTTTATGTATAAAAACTTGATCATAGAATGAATTTTATCCACACACACACACACACACAAAACAAACAAACAAACATCCATAACAACACACTACTGAAATCTTTATCAATTGAGACTAAACAAAGTTGCCTATTGTTTTCTTTTTTCTTCTTCCAGAAAAAAAATATAAATAATTTAATCATTTTAAATTATTTTAAAACAAATAGAGTAAACATAATTTAATATGAAATACACATTGGTTAGTATGATTTCTATGTTTACATTCATTGTTCTGTTTACCATTCAATTACAATCAATAAAAATTAGTAAGTTTTAATATATATTACTTAATAAATACTTTAGATTATTTTATATTTGTTTGTTTATTATGATAGTTTAAATCTTGATTTGATCATAAAAAGCTTTGATCTTTCGTTTTTATTGTCTAAGTATATGGTACCTTAGAACAGTTTATTCAAGTTATGCGTTCTTTGTGAAACTGAATTTTCTTGGATTCAGTTGTTAATGTGATCGTGAAAAAATACGGATTAAGAGTCTTATATGAGAAAAGAATAGTTATCTAATGATTTCTGATTTTTAACGACTCTTTAACTAAGAATAGTCAATCATAAGAGCTATGTAAATAATCTATACAAACCTATGTAATCATTATAAATAGAATTGTTTTTCTGAAAGGAATACAGTATAATGACATGCTTCTCATTAAAACATATTTCAGTTTGAAAAATTCCCATATTGTAATTTAGAACAACATATGTAAGCGAACAATATTGTTTTCCATTAGATCTTCATTAGGCTTTATTCTAATATACGAAATTATTAAATCAATCAAGTCAGTTTATGAGTCAATCATAACAATAGAATAAACTACATAAATAAGTGGAAAGTACAAATTGATAGTGTGATAACAGGTGTACTAGTTGTGATAAGAATAATAAAGGCTTGAATCAATGTTATATAATAGGAAATAAGTCAATGATTAGAAATATATATATATATATATATATATATATATATATATATATATAATAAGATTACGCAATGAGAAGTGTTAAGCTGATTGAACCGTGAAACATACATTTGAAAGGAAAAACTTAAAGGGTAGGAGAGTGTGAAGAAAAATAAACGAAGAGAGTGTATGGAGAATAATGATAAATAAAATCATTTATTAAGGCCAAGAGATGAAGGTATATCCAGCTGACGAGTCCCAAGTAGGACGAAACGCGCGTCCTGGATTCCACTGCTAGCCACTATCCATCATTGCTTACAAACAGAGATAATGGTGTTCCAAATATTTCAGTTTGTTAATTATGTGACTACTGATAAGTTCTTTGTCCAGTCTTTGTATTGAATAAACCAGTCAGTCATCTACAACGTAGAATCAGGCACATATATACATAGGTCCAAGTTGTTTGGAAATAGTCATGAATTCAATAAATAACATGTTGTTGATATTAGCAGAGAGAATTGAAACTGAGCATTAGCTGTTTCATTGAATTAGGTGAAAACACAAATCTATAAAATACATTTAAATAATTCAATGATAATTAAATGAGTTCCTGCTATTTTGATGTTTCATATCAATTACAACTAGTTATTATTTAAACAGGGAAATAAACGTTTAGATACTTTAATTAACAAATTTGAGATGGGTAATTGAAACAAAATATAGAATCATAAATAATAAAAGAAGATTCAGTATATGTTATTAGGTAAAGTTAAAATAGATATGTCTCTAATGATATTACTGATTGGGCTCTATTGTAACTTGTACAGTGAAATGTCGTAAACTTTTCACAAACACACCTGAACAGATTATACGATTAGTACGCATAATGATGTGTTAAAACAAACAAGAAAACAGAAAACTTGTTGGAATACCTAGACGGCAGGAACAGGTAGCCCAGATATTCAAGTAGGCCGTCTTGGTTAATTATCAATTATCTATGGACTTATTAATAATGTGATTTTGGAAGGGAAGGAAATAGTTGATAAATCTAATAACACAATGTTCTAAGCTATTTAATTATAGAAATGTCATATCTAGTCGTGTTTATGAATAGACAAATTATTTGGAAAACATTACCATATACATGTTCTGTGTGAACATATATCAGTTTTCACTCACTATACTACTGAATTAATCAAATGAGTAGAACAGTTATGTTTTGTTTCATACTTAATCTTTCGTTCTGAAATCGTGATGGAAATGTGGGAAAAATATTCCTATCTGTTTTTTTTTCTCTAGTTCATAACGAGTTAGATGAACACAAATAAACAAGCAATAATTTAACTTAGGTACATAAATTAATTGTTGCTCTGTCTGTCAGAAGGGGCATTAGCCATATGACTTCCAAAAGAACTCGGCTTTCATCATGAGTCGTCATAACTCTTCTAAGTGAAGAACTTCTGGCACTCAAGGCAGAGTATAAATGATTTTAGTAACTTTTCTGGTTAGCCTCTTCCTAGAGAGTTAGTTTTCTACGGGATGTGGACACTAACCCTATGCCCAACCCTCCTCCTTTATCCGAGCTTACGGGCGGCAGTAGTCCCAGAAGGGCTCTAAGCGGAGTATTATGACGAAGATTATGTAATGCTACAAAGGAACGATTTTTGTTTTGAAATAAAATAACCAAAAATATAACTTAATATTTGATTAGCACTGAATCGGATTGTTTCATTCTGATACTGAACTCATCATCAGTATATAGTTAATCAAGAAGGAGCATAAAACGTGAAAGCGTTATTCGTGATCGTCATAGGTTCTAACCAACAGACGAAAATACAATGGTGTACATTTTTATTTTATTTTTATCAAGTCATGATTTAGAGTAATTATTTGTTGATATTGTTTGAGAGTTATCATTTGAATTTACAGTAAAATTGAGCATGAAAGTACCGATTTGTCATGATTCTTATAGTCTTTAATTGCGTAGTGGTTCACTTTCAATTTTAAAAAATACTTTAAAAACACATAGATTAAAAATATAATCAAAGATGGATTGTGGTCAGCAGTAGAATCCAGGACGCGCGTTTCGTTCTATTTGGGACTCGTCGGCTGGATTTACCTGCATCTCAGTGTTGATGTTCACTCTGGGGGCTAGTACAGCTGACGAATCCCAAACAAGATGAAACGCACGTCGAACGGGATTTCACTTCTAGCCACTATCCATCTCCGCTTATAATGCTTGTGAATTTAGGCAATATCAAGGTAATACACGAAATATGAACATATGTCAATAAGAGACTGATCAATTGCAGTCCCAAATATCAATGGGAAGATCCAAGTGAACCTAAAAATATAATGATTAAAATTAAGTAATTCACATTGATAATCTTTAAGTCCGATAAGAATATAGCAACTCTAATACAATCTATTTCGATTACGGTTAAATTTTGTTAATCCCTTTTTATTGACTTACTTAATATACAATGTTTTTCGAACAGCCTAGTCACATCTCACTCTAGCTAAAATGTTAATCGTTCAAATATCTCTCGATGATTCATTCTGTTCTCTATGTAAATATATGTCCTCGAATCCTATTATTAGCCTTTGCCTCACCTAGCTACGTCTTATTTGGTTTGACTATAAATACATACATTCGCTTCTCTACTTCAAACTTACTTGAGATGATTGTAGCTTTTTGATTTGTGCTATCCGTTAATAAACTGTAGTCACCACTTCTTATTGTCTTCTGATTTCAAACACTGTTGGGATTTATATAATAACGGTTATCAAAGTGATAGGTTAACAAAGCTTAGTCATTACAAAAATAAATTGCCTAATTCTGGTTCTTACGTAACAAGTTATTGCAATTGACTGATTATATAATTTTATCTTTAGATATAAGTTTAAACCTGTTGGGTTGCTAATCCATTACTGTTTTGTAAAATTGACCAACTACCATTTATTTGGTATTATTTGTATTCTTAAACGTAAACATATATTTATGAAGGGTCTAGATCTAGAATTAATTGTAAAGAAATCTTTATATATGCGCACTGCTCAGGAGTTCCATACTAGGACGAAACGGCCGTCCAGTGCTTCCAGGTTTTCCATAGTGGTCGAGCTTCAATTAACGAATGAATTCAACTATTAAAAATGTTTCTTTATTAAAATACTTTTTTATACGAGAATATTAAATATGCAGAAATAAATTTCAGTCAACAAGTATTTGTGCTTGAGAAGAACATAGAAAATGTACCGAGATAGTTTTGAAATTTGACTACAGTCATGTTCGTGGACATGGCAAAAGACAATTTTTGAAGTCGATCATAGAATCGATCTCAAAACAGTTTTTGCCTCTTTTTGTTAATTATCCGTAAATTTATGTATATTTTAAAGTGCTAAACAACAGTTCGTTTTTACATTGAACCCTCTAATGATAGTCTTTAGCTTTAATAAATGTCAAAGATAGTGTTAGCACTTTTATTCATTCTATGGTAAATCGCATATTACTTGAGGATTATTACAATCATCACTATATATGTATTGTACTGTTCTGTTTATTTACACATAAAAAACACTTTGACAAGTGGATGTTCTTGCTTGTTTTATTTGATGATTACATTAAATCAGTGTCATCTTTGAACTATGATACCTATAATTTAGTGGTTGAATTCATGAATCGATGATTGTTAAACCACTGTTGAAAACCTAGAAATAGTAGACGGCCGTTCCATCTTAGTATGGAACTCTTCGGCTTTTCACATCCACGATCCCTCACGCATAGTTCAAACACAGGACCTTCGGTTTCACGCACGAACGGTTAACCTTTAAGTCACTGAGCTGGCATGCAACGATGTTAATGTCTAATTTCAACCAATCGACAAAATTGCGCCACCTCCTCCTTCTGATGATATCTATAACTTTGAAAAATGAACTATTTTGTTTAAAATTTTAACGAAAACTTGGTAATTTCTAAATAGATGCTTAAAATTACTCCAAATGGGAACCGATTTACACATGAAAAAATGTCTGTATGGAGCAATGTGTAAATACATTATCATTACAAAATAGTACAGTAAAGCAAATGAATGCCAAAAAACGTTTCCCTTTATTTAACTGAGCTTTTGAGAAAATATTGATAGTTGAATAAAATTAAGTGGTTAAATGTTATTCAAATCTGAAAGTGAACACTTTAAATGACATGAATTTCACTTTGATCAATTGTATTTGGCTAAAACGTTTATGATTTCAGGCACAAGATGCTATATGACTACACTTGGTCATAGTTATTTGACAATTTAGACCTCTGTACTGGAAATAGTAAACTCTTTGTTATAGCATAAAAACTGGTTAAAT